TTTTAATAGTGTAATGTGGCTTAATGTATTACAGACAGTAACGTTTAATGATGTGAAGGCAACTATTGGGACAGCAATGAGTTGTAAAAAATATGATCAAAGTGAAGAATGAAAAATATATCACATTTAATCAAATTTATGAAAAACTAATAACAAAATAAATCTGACCAAATGTTCTGTAAATTGTCTAATTTTTCTTCCATTTTTATTTTATCATCATTTTGCACGCGTGTCTGACGACTTACATCAGCACCGATAGACAAATGTCGTACAGAAAGTATTCGTGTTTTTGAAATGAGCCAAAAATATGTGGCCGATATTTCTAAGAGGATTCCTCCGTTGATTCTCCTTGCAGCACACATTGAGCTCATGTAGATTTTATTGCTCAGTTTATTTCTGCACAACAGCTGAACCAGAAAAATATTCTRCTTTAATAAATTCACATGCTTTTTATTGATTTAAGTACCAGTGGGAAAAAATGTATTAAATGCTAAGTTAGTAACATTTTTACACTTCCTCACTCACAGTTCATTGTATAATCAGCTTATATGTAGGCTTTAAGTCAGTTTTTTTATTTTTTTATTATTTTTATTTTTTTCATTCGGACAAACAAAACAATACAAATGACAATAATGTTGTGTCAAAAAACACACAACACAACATGGTCAAATGATTGATATGATTGGTCAATTTCATTGATAACCAATCTGAGAAAAATCAATAAGTAAAATTTGGGTTTAATGTAGGTGCGTAAAACAAACAAAAAAAACTTTAGAGTGATAAATTTATAGTTGCTAAGTTTTTCATTATGGAAAATTGTAAGAAAAAATATTTTATTTTGAAAAATCTTTTTTATTTTGAAAAATAAAATTATTTTTCCATCTGAAATGATGGAGGTTATTTTAATAAATTAAGTAGGTTATGACCCAGAAAGAAGATGCGRGTAAATAATTGATGGATGGATGAACCAGAACCACAGGTTCATTTAGTCTTTAGCTCCTTTCTTAAAGGGATCCATGATTAGTTGTAACATTCGACTTTATTTGATAAACATTTATTTTAACTGTAAAATAAAGACTGTAAAAATACTGTAGGCTGTTTAGTTTTGTAAAATTTAAAAATATATATTTTAACACGGACGGGATAATTTCATTTACACACAAAGCATTCTGGGTAAATGATGATAAAGGTAAAGGTGCTTTATTTGTCATCAGTGTATGTTTCCACACAATGACAAAATTTGTGCTCTGCATTTGACCCACCCAAGTGGAGCAGCGGGCAGCCATGTGAGGCGCCAGGGGGGCAGTTAGGGTTGGGTGTCTTGCTC